ACTAGTACTGGACATACCCTGGCAAAATTATGGCCATACCCAGGACTAAGGTGGACCGGCCCAATTATATACTCTACTATCGGATGCCTGAATTATGCTCACACCCAGCAGCCACAAGGGTCCACGACGTGGGCATGAGCATAATTTTGTGGTTGCCATCGGAGGTCGTCCCCTGGCTGTGGGTACACCTGCAATATTGTCAGACCATTTCTGGGCATGGGCATAATTTTCGCGGCCTGGATGGAACCCAGGGCCTGCGGGACTGGGTATGCCTACAATTTCGCACAGGGGAAAAGTCGGGTACTATGCAAAGTTGAACGTGGTCCGGGGGTATAAATGCAAGTTTGGCGCTGGGACTGGGTATAGCGGGTATCCCCATCTTTAAGTAGGGTACAGATGCAATTTCCCCTATTTTCAACTATACAGGGGACGCCTGTCAGCACAATCACCTCTCACAGTCAAGGGGATGCATGTTGTCCTCTGCGCTAATCGCTAGTCTTCAGGGAGTAGGATGGAGTCATCCGTGACGAGGGCCGGCTAAGGCAAAGACCGAGCATTTCCTTTTTTTTTTTTTTTTTTTTTTTTAAACCGAGCATTTCTACCACAGTAGCTGCGGCTTCCATCTACTTTCCCCCGCCCCGTGGACGAACAGCAGCGTTTTCTTTGAGACTTAATGTTTTATACTTTCGGGGTGTCAGTGAGGAGCTGTTGCGATTGTGAACTGTGATGCTTGTCATGGACATAGGGATGCCCTCCTTGCTCGACTACCGTTTTCACCCGTATAGAACGCTCAGTCATTACAGCTGTATGTGGGGCAACGTCAGCTTTCGGGAGCCTATCTAGAAGTTGCCCCAAATACAGTTTATACTGACCGAGGGTTCTGTACGGGTTAAAACGGTTGTAGGGCTTTTCCGACACAAGCATCATAGTGAGTCGAGCAAGGAGGTGATCCCTCTGTCCATCACAAGCATCACGGTGCACAATCGCAACAGCTCCTCACTGACAAGAGTTGTTATAGCTATTACTAATTGTAGGGCTTTTCCGACAAGGGCGTGATTTGTCACGTCCACGAAAACAATGAATGTTATAGAGCGAACAACAACGTCGATCGAAACTGGCAAGCGCACTCCACCTTTCTGATGGGTAAACGCCGAGAGCCCACTGCACTCGGTAGTAACATAGTTTTGGGAACAAAATCATCACTACAGATCCCACTGCACTCGGTAGTAACGTAGTTTCAGGAACAAAATCATCACTACAGATATTCAAAGCGTCAACAATGAGAGCCAAGTTCATTTCTTGTTAGGACGATAGTTTTCATGGACAAAATTCACCTTTCCACATTCTCGAAGCGTCTGACGATCTGGATCACTCTGGAGTCTGGATACGTACGACTCGCATGGGCAAAGCAAACATGGACCGTATATCTAGCATATGGGGAGCCTGAAACTTTCAGCACAACTCGGCACGCTGTTCATGCGCTCTCGTGCTAGGCCTGACCATGAAATGCCCAGTGACGACTCCATACGCTATCATTAAGAAAAAAAAGGATGCGAGAGATCTGCGCACAATTCCTTCCAAATAATATACTCTCGAGGAGTCTCGATCAAGTCAGAGCAAGCAACAAAAACCAGCTGAAACTGACGCACTGTAGACCGTACGTATCAACGGGTACTCCTCTGCCCGGCGTCGACAGCCAAACCATCGTTCCTCCACCAGCTAGATCGATATGTACCTAATATCACCTATTTTATGCTTCTCCCCATATACCATCTACGTTTTCAACACGGCGACTAAGTTTTTCACCATAATTTTTTTCCGTGCTCCAAATTAGCAAAAGCTTTCGCGATGACATCCGGGCGGCGATTGACTTCGGAGTCTGGACACTCAGCTCGGGAAAGACAAAGTCTTTATTCCGAACAAAAAGATCAACCTAGTGCGACAAAGTTTTTCTCCATAATAAAAAAAAATTATCGTGCTCCATCAACTAGCAAAAGCTTTCGCGATGAGATCGAGGCGGCGGTTGACTTTGACACCCAGCTTGGGAACACCAAAGTCGTTATTGCAGTTTATTCCGAACAAAAACAAAAAAAGATCGACCTACTGCGCCCTCGCGACGAATCACCGAGGGCTGAGAACTCGCCCCCAACGATCCTTCTGGCCACAGTCCACAACGAAGGAATGTGAGAAACAAGACAAAAACACAGAAACAACAGCCAGTTGGCGGGCCTGGAACAGGGTGCTCACCACTGGCTGGTAGCAGTCTGAGATCGTTTTGTCTGAGCGAGTGCGGGATAGAGGATTGGTTGGTGAAGTGGCAGGCACGCCAAATGCTCGGGGGGTTGTTCGCGCATAATGCAGAGCTGCGTGTTGCGAAACTGAACCGCTCAAATGCAATACCGTAGCACCGATGTCCTTGAACGTCAAATCGACTAAGCAAACCAGCAGAGGAAATCTGTATGCACCCAGCAGCACGCGCTGCAGCTTGGACAAGCTCTGCCGAGTCTGCCCATCCCCCACCCCCCCCCTGCCAAGACGACTCGGATGACGGCATGATGAATCCATCGATGACGGGAAGATATCTTCAACCCCTGCGTATACAACACACGATGGCTCGGTAAAAAATCTAGACTCCGCGCGTGGCATTTGCAAAAGCGGATGGCAAAATATTCACCGTGGGATAAGCCTTACCAGATAGATATCTTGCGCTTGGGAGGGGAGAAGTTGGACATCTGATCGGCCATTGACAAGCTAGGGAGCCCTTCCCCTACCGAACAGGTAGTGCTGACCGAAAAAACGATGGGCGCAACTCAAGCGCCAAACTTAGCGGGGGCGCCAATCCACGCGAAAACCCTCTGTGCTCCAAGGATAGCACACCTGCCAGATGTGAGCATAGTGCAGGGAAACAAACTCCCGAGGACGGAGAGAGCCCATTTCATTAGACACCGGCTGAATTATCACTTCGTGAATACACATCTGATGATTAGTCTCCAAGATAGATCGGAGCATGGAAGTTCAAGAGAGAAACAGAGACACAGAGAGAGAGAGAGGGAGATCAGTCTCGAAGATAGAACGGTGCATGGAAGATCAAGAGAGAAACAGAGACATAAGAGTGTGAGGGAGATTAGTCTCGAAGATAGATCGGAGCATGCAAGATCAAGAGAGAAACAGAGAGAGAGAGAGAGAGAGAGAGAGAGAGAGAGAGAGAGAAAGAGAGAGAGAGAGAGAGAGAGAGAGAGAGAGAGAGAGAGAGAGATTAGTGTTGAGAGATATTAGTGTTAAGAGATATTAGTGATGAAGATAGATCGGAGCATGGAAGAAGAGACACAGAGAGAGATGGAGAGATTAGTCTCGAAGATGGATCGGAGCATGGAAGATCGAGAGAGA